TGCACCGAACATATTAAGTCCAAAACAGTCGGGCATTGTTTCTGATAGCAACGTTTCTGATAGGGCCGTGGGTCCACATTTCAGATATTACGTCATATCGGACGCAAATCTGGATCAGCTCCGTTGTAGCCCCGTTTTTAGAGATTTGGGTACGGAGGAAAAGAGAGAGGGTTTTATTTTCTGACGCTGCGTGAGTTCCCCGACACACCGGGGACGCATCTTTATGTATAAAAGACATCACAAAGTGCATTTTGCAATTATAGGTCCCCTTTAAGAGAAACATGTTTTGAGTATTCTTTGGTACTGAGATCTAACGTTGCAAAGTGAAGCGATTTGGTATATTAATAAAAGAAAACATTATTTCTGAGAGCATTTTTATCCTAATTTATAAATCCATAATCTCAGAGATTATCAGAGTATTTTCCTAGTCAAATTATCTTGTTTTTAATAAATATAAATGATTAATTGTAGATAAAATGTTGTTTCTCTCTCTAACAATATATTTTCTTGACAATTTGTGTTATTTTTCACGGAAATAAAAATGTTAATCTTCTGAGTTTTTTCTTGCAGTTTTATTATTACTTTAATCTCGGAGAATCTTCTCTTCCCCAATCCATAGTTTATTTCATGTTTACCTACAATGGTCCTAATATGGCATCATTTAAAATGAATTCCACTTTTACCAGCTGTACATTCAATGGATTAACATTATAACATTCTGCAATGAATACTTTTACTTTTGGTACTTTACATATACAGTATATATTTTTTAATGTAATTTTACTTAAGCGTGATTTTGATTGCAACATTCGATGAGAGTATGTCCACTCACTGTAGGAAGTGGAATACAAACACCACCTTCAAGCTGAAGACTCAGACCTTCTGTTGTGTCACACCGACCTTCAGTGGTAAAATCTTCAGGAGGTGTTTATCCACAGTGCAAATGTACGGAAACAGCTTCTCAGTGAAAGTGTGTGTGAAGGTGTGTATGTGTGTGCTAGTGTCAGGATCAGAGAATGAAAGCTTTCCTCTGTTCCAGTCCAGATTCACTCTGACCCTCTGCAGCTTCTTCCTGAATACGAGTTGAGAGGGTGGAGCAGGAAGTGACAGTGCTGAGTATTCACCTTCACCGAACCATAATGTCCACAATCCAGACCGTATGTCTCTCTTCCTCGGGACAGACTCTGCTAACACACCCAGAATCCACTCTCTACTGTCTCCAACCTCAACATCCCAGCTGTGAGAGCCTGAGTTAAAGCCCTCCGAGGCCAGGACACCGCAGAAAGCATCAAACCTCTCTGGATTATCAGGACGTTTCTGTCTCCCTCCTTCCATCACACTGGTCAGATCTTCAGACAGGATGAGTTCTGGATGAGCAGTGTTTGGGTCCAGAACAAGAGGGAAATAGGAGACCAGGTAGCTCATCTTGCTCCAGATGTTAAAGGTGAGGTTGCCCAGGTGTTTGGCCTCGTCTATCAGAGCTCCTGGGGGCAGCTGTGGATCCTCCAGCAGGGGGCGCTGCAGCCTCTCCACTGCAGCCTGGTAGTTGTTCAGGAAGGAGGCGTGGTCAGCTTTCATCTCTTCCTCTGTGGCCCTGAGTGTGTGTGAAAGAGCTGCTATCTCTCTGCTCACAGCCTCCATCTTCCCCTCCATCACCCGACTCTTCTGCTCCTCTTCCTCCCTCAGTGCAGCCATCCTGGCCCCCTCTTCCTCTTCTAGAAACTGGTGAAGCTTCTGAAATTGCTCCTTAATCTGCGTCTCTGTGCGTCTGGCCTGGACCTTCAGGTGTTCTGCTGTTCCATCAAACTCCTTTTTAGCCTTTTCAAAAGCATCTAACTTCTTCCTAAAGGGTTTCAGAGTGTTCTGAAGTTCCATCCTGTGTTGTCGCGCAGCTTCATCGATGGGTCTGAAGCTGTGGTTAATATGTTTTTCTGAATCTCTGCAGACGACACACACCGGCTGCCTATGGTCCAGACAGAAGAGTTTGAGTTTCTCAGAGTGCAGATTGCAGAGAGCCTCTGAAGCGTTCTCATCCCTCTCTCTTTGAAAGGCCTCACAGAGGTTCTTTAACACCAGGTTACAGGGAGGCTTTCCCCTCGATGACCTTCTCTTGCATAAAGGGCACTCACGTGTTATTTTCTCTCTCCACCAGTCCGTCAGACAGCCTCCACAGAAGCTGTGACTGCATGACAGGAGAACAGGGTCTCTAAAGATGTCCTGACAGACCGCACAGCAGAGATCCTCCTCTGATCTTGAAGCCATTCTCTCAGAGTGAAGCTGAACACAGCCAATTAAACAGGCCTCGCCTGTGCTTCCCTCCTTGCTGCAGTTACTTTCACTTTTAGTTTTTTTTCAGCTGTAAAAGTATTTTAAAGCTTAAAAATCCTTGCTGTAAACGTCCTCCCTCAGGTGAATCCACGGCTTTGTAATGAAGGCGAATGTTACCGTTCTACTGTCTGTCTGTCTGTCTGTCTGTCTGTCTGTCTGTCTGTCTGTCTGTCTGTCTGTACGTCTTTTCTCACTGAGAGTTAAACAGAAACAAACTAGTTTCCTGCTTCCTCTCAAGATTATGTAATATCAGGGGTGGAGCTTTACTGGTAGGTTTTAATAGAAAGGGAAGAAGAAACTCTTTTGAAATTCAGGAGTGGCTCTGAGAGCACCGGAGTTAGGGTTGCAAAATTCTGGGAATTTTCAAAGATGGAAACTTTCCACGGGAATAAACAGGAATAAACTGGGAATTTTCTAAATTGAAGGTTGGCTCTTCATAGGGAACTTCAATATAGTTGGGGAATGTATATTTTCGCATAATCTTGACTAAAACAAACAGATGCCATTCAACTTGGATATCCATAACATAGCACACTGCTTACTGCATGGCTATTGAGACCACACAAAGGTTCGCAACAGGCTCACAAATGTGAGAGTGGAAAAACTGGTTGGCATTCGGGCAAACCTAAGGCTCTCTGAGCCTGACACAGAGCTATCCTCAACAAGGCTGGACAGTGACACTGAAGAGGAAGAGGAAGAGTGTGATGTTGATGAGGCCCAGGAAGAGCCCATTGACTGAAAGGCTTTAGCAAAAATGCAGAGGATTGCTTGAAGGAAGATTTGCTTTTGTTTAATGGGACTTTGTGGAGGGAGAAGGGCTCTTTTCATTTAACATTTTGAATGGGACTTTGTGGGGGGATGCATTTTTGTTCATTTTTAACTCAACATTTAACTCAACATTCCTGTTTTCGTTCTCCAATTAAACA